GTTTAGGGTTTAGGGGAACCCTGAAAAGAATCCTTAAAGGAACGCTGACTAGGAACCCCTTAACAGAACAGAAGTCCTTAAAGGAACCCATCTGCGATATGCTGGCTGGTGGCCCTCTCCCCTAAACCCTAAACCCTAAGCCCCGTCCATCTTACCGAGATCGTTCCAATCTGTATTGGGTTCAGGGTTTCGGGTTCCTTGAGGCTTAGGGCTTCGGGCTTAGTTCATTCAACAAAAAGCGCGACAGTTTGTTGTTGAAGGTTTAGGCTTTAGGGCCTAAACCCTAAACCCTAAACCTTAAACACTAAACCCTAAACCCTAAACCCTAAACCTTAAACACTAAACCCTAAACCCTAAACTTTAGGGTTTAGCGTCGATATGAAAGGATGGTTATGGGCCTCAATGGCCCCAGCATCCACCGCCTGAAGACGTGGCTGGCCTTCCCGGGCCTGTTTAATTGTTTACAGGTTTCAGGAACTAGGCTAGTCGGTTTAGGGTTTAGGGTTTAGGGTTTAGGGCAACTAGAGTTTAGGGCTTCGTGGTTGAAAGGTTCATGTTTTTTCTGGGGTTTCGGGGTTTAGGCTTAGGTATAAATCGGTGTGAGGAGTTTGGAGATTTGTCATGAATTTAGCCTGTGAGCCTTAGAAGTGATTGCATCTGAACCCTGGGTAGTTCTGTTTTTTGGTCTCAATATTCTTGGCTTGTAGGGTTCCGCGCATTGGGGGCTTCAGGATTTAGGATCTTGGCAGGCATTTTGGGCTGGTGGTCGTTGGCAGGTCTCGAGGGGGTTGTGGGGTCTTTCCGGGGTCCAGAGGAGTGCTAGTAGCCATTAATGAGCAAAATCGGAGGCGGACGGTTCTGAGGGTGGAGATTGTCCTCGGGTTTGAAGGGATGATTGATTGCTTAGCGGCTCAGCCTAAACCCTAGGCCCTGAACCCTAAGTTAAGCTTTCAACACGCTTCTGAGCAAAACATCTTGGGGAGCCCCCGATGGTCATTTCCGCATTGACCTGCCTCAAGGCCTTTACATACAGATTATGGGCAATAGACGCACGACCCGGTAGACATGCAGAATGGTCGAACATCGATCACCTTGTTGGTGGAGCGATCCTTCAACCCTAACCCTAAACCCTAAACCCTTGAACCCTAAACCCTAAACCCCAAACACCAAACCCCAAACCCTAGACCCTAGACCCTGAACCCCAAACCCTAAACCCTAAACCCTAAACCCTAAACCCTAAACCCTCACAAACCGAAGAGTTGAACCTCAGCCCTCACTCCTAAAAGCACTGGAGTTTTCAGCTCCAGGGTCTGACACTTTCACCCATTTCCATAATGGGGACTTGGAAAGGGTTTAGGGTTTAAGGGTTCAGGGTTCAAGGGTTTAGGGTTTAGGGTTTAGGGTTTAGGGTTTAGGGTTTAGGGTTTAGGGTTTAGGGTTTAGGACCCTTAATATAGAGAACTACCCTTATATAGCCCTTATGGAAACCCTATAGAAGCCCTTATAGATCCCTTGAATGGAACCCCTCAAAAGGGGACCCTAAACCTTTAACAAGCCGTAAACCCAAAAGAGCCACAGTTCAGGGTTTAGGGTTTAGGGTTTAGTAACAATAATTACCTATACTATTTTGGGGGGTTCCTTATTATTGTAATTATAGTATCATGGGCCCCAAAACCCGAGTCTAATTATTAAGCCCCAATAATAAACCCTTAACAAGTCTCCCTAAACCCTAAACCCTAAACCCCAAAACCCTAAACCCTAAACCGCTAAACCCTAAACCCTAAGCCCGAAGCTCTGAATCCTGAATCCCGTTCACCCCCTTGCTGACGTCCACACAGTTTTTGTACTTGACATCCTACCTGGGGATCCAAAAACCTACCGTTTTTATGGGTTCGTCCCTCAGGGGTCATAACCTACTATTTTGTAGGGTTTGGGGTCAGAGGTAGAACCCAAAACCCTAGGACCCTTAAGCCCAATACCCTAAACCCTAAATCCCCAAACCCTAAAGCCCTGGGCCTGAAGCACTAGACTAGACCCGAAAATCCTTAAAACCCTAAACCAGAAAAGCCGACCAGGTGATCAACGTTTTCTTGTGCGTCACGCGTGTGAACCAGCTGCTCATGGTGACGTTCGGCTGCCAGACCTACGATACTTCAAGGCACGATTCAGGGTGTAGGGTTTAGGGTCTAGCGTTTAGGGTTTAGGGTTAGGGTTTAGGGTTAGGGTTTAGAGTTTAGGGTTTGGGGTGCAGGGTTTAGGGATTGAGTTTAGGGTCTAGGGTTGGGGGAGCAGGGAGGGCTTTTTTCGGGTTTGGGATTTAGGGTTTAGTGGGGTTGATCGAGATTTCAGAAGATTGGTGGGTCCTTAGGACGGCTCTTTAGTGTTAGGATTTTGTCGTTTCGGGTTTAACTTCGCGTTCGTTATCACAAACAAGGGCTTTCGTTCTGGGTTTGGGGCTTGTAAGCTTAGCCTGAGGCTATGGGCATGCCAGAAGTGGCTTTGATAGCAGAAGGCGATTCGGCAAGCCTGGATTGCTTGGAGGTTCGTGGGTAGTTGTAAGTGGGGTTATAAGTCCCATAATATGGGAGTTTCCGAAAATAGGGGACCCTAATATAGTACCCTAAATAATAGGATCCTTATTATAAGGACCCCAAAATAAGGTACCCTAATTTTCGGAAACCCCCATATGGACTATAACTTATAACTATAGTTACCCTACTTATAACCCCACTACACATGAACCTCCAAGTATGGCCTTCCCGCAAGCTGGTGCCATGCGCCATCCATCCTCCTACTTGGAGGTTCATGGGTAGTTATAAGTAAGGTTATACGTAGGGTAGCTGTAGTTATAACCTATATTAAGGGACTTATAACTTCACTTATAACCACCCATGAACCTCCAAGTATCTGGCGTCCTGCGGCAGTGCGGCGCCCGAGTGCTAGGAGGCGTAGATGCTGCTGCTCCCTTTCAGGGCCCACCGCCGCCGCTGGAGCCTGTTGATGCAGCTCCTGAGGCTGAGGATGACGCCGTTGTTATGCCTGGCGCTGTTCCTCCCGGTCCCCCTGACAGCGAAGCTCCTGTGTAATATAGGAGCCATAATAATTAGAATAGGGTTTGGGGGTATAGTATACTATAATTATAATAAGGAACCTCCAAAGCCCTATTCCGATTCTTAAGGCCCCTACATTACGGCCCGGAGCCTCCTGGCCCCTGACGCCGAAGGACCTGAGTCTGAGGCCGAGCAGAGGACTCAGGAGCCTCAGGAGCGAGTCCTGCTCCGCAGTTTCCGCCTCCACCACCAACCGCCGCAACAAAGGATGCGCGCTGGGGAGAAGCACCAGGCTGCTTAAAGGATCATGGGTCTTAGTAACGGAGGTTATAAACAAGGTAACTATACTTATAACCCCAATTAGGGTACTTATAACCCTACTTACTAAGTCCCAAGACCCTCCAAGTGGGCAGCAAGAAGTGGGAGCAGCGGGCTGCCGAGGAAGCTCAACCTTGAGCTTAGAAAAGAAGCTACGTCCTGAACCCAAAACCCCAAAACCCCAAGCATCGGCACACCCTAAACCCCCAAACCCTAAGCCCTAAACCCCAAAACCCAAACCCACCCCTAACTCAACCCTTGGTAAATCCCGGCCTTTAAGAGACTAAAGCTGTTGATCGGGAAAACCGAGGCATAACTCCTGGCCTCAAGAGCCACACCCCTGAACCTTCAAACTCTAAACCCTAAATCCTAAGCCTTTAGGGTGTAGGGTTTAAATTCTGAGCCATAAACTTTAAGCCCCACTATAACTTTCAAGCCCTTAACTTTAAACCCCACTATAACTTGCAAGCCTCTAAATTAGTAAACTTCAGATCCCCGAAACCCTAGGCCCCTGCACTCCTGGTCACATTAACGTCTGGATGTGGATCAGACCTGCAGACGGAAAAAGGAGCTTAAACAAACACACCCAACAGGCAGAGGGTTTAAACCTTGGGCCCTCAAAAGGATGAATTGATGAGCCTTTAGACGCAGAGCTGTTGTTTTGAACCCTCATTATAGAACCCTCATTCTAGAACCCTTGTTACAGAAGCTTCTAGATGAACCCCCCCCCATATAAAGACCCTCATTATGGAACCCGTAGTCTAGAACCTGTGCTTTAGGCCTTCGTTAAGAACCCTGATGCCGACATTATTTTGTGGGTTCCTTATTGTAGTTAAACTATCAAGGACCCCAAAACCCTGTTCTAAGTAGCCCTTACAGTAACCGCTTTAAGGACCCCGTTAAAGGAACCGTATTCTAATTTTTAAGGCTCCTATATCACCCTGCGAGGCTGAATTTGAACACCCAGATCAATTGCTGGTCCGACGACGCTGAGCTGCAACCCTAAACCCTAAACCCTAAACCCTAAACCCTAAACCCTAAACCCTAAACCCTAAACCGGAAGCATTAGGGCTTGGGGTTTAGGGCTTAGGGTTTAGGGGCTCGAGGTGTTTAGGGTGTAATATGAGGGCCTTAACAGTTAGAATACGGTTTGGGGTATACTAGACTATAGTTATAGTAAGGAGCCCCTGAAACCCTATTCTACTTATTAAGGCCCCTACATTACGGGGGCTTCTGTATAGTGGGGCTGTGCGGCTTGAAGGTGTTAGGGTTCAAGTTCAAGGGAGCCTTGGTTCCAGGTTGCAGGTGGAAAGGTTTAGGGTTTAGGGTTTAGGGTTTAGGAGGGGTTTAGGGTTTAGGGTTAGGTTTGAGGTTTATGGTTTTGTGGTGTGGGGTTTGTGGTCTTGCCTTTGTACACCCTAAACCCTAGACCCTAAACCCTACATACGGTTTTTGGGGGGTCTTGAGTACAAGCACAATCAGTTTTCAGGGCTTCTTAGGGTTTAAGGGCTTAGGATTCTTTGAGGCTGAAGTTGGTCTTAAACTAAAGTGTCTGGTGGGGTTTAGGGTGTAGGGTTTAGGGTTTTAATGCCTGGTGAGAGTAATATAGGGATACTATTTTGGGAGTTCCTTATTCTACTTATAGCATAATATACCCCCCAAAACCCTATCCTGATGACTAAGGCTCCTATATTATAGAGGTTTCTAGTGCCGGTAAGGGCGAAACCAACACCCCAAACACAAAGCCTCAAGACCCTAAACCCTAAACCCCTGAACCCGCAAACCCCTAAACCCTAAACCCCTAAAACCCCCAAACCTAAACCCTAAAAGCCTCAACCCCTAAACCCCTAACCGCTAAACCCCTA